TCCTAGGGTTTCGATATAATAACAGATGAGAGAGGGAGAGGCTTTTACGTGATGAGTGATGGCCGGTTTTATTTGGGATGGGCTTCGGGTCGGTTTGGATACCACACAAGGCTTTCAATAAAAACAGATGGGCTTTTTATAGCCCTTACTAATTACTGCCTGAGAAACTAGTTAATCTCAGTAATAATTCAGTGATAATCATAGTCACTTTCTCACACCCTTCCCTTAGGCTATGTTTGGTTTGAGAGAAAGTAGGAGAGAAAAGACAAAGAAAGAGAAAGTAAAAAAGAAAGGAAAAGAAAAAGAAAAAAAAATGATATTCTTTTTATTGTTTGGTTAGAAAGAATATTATAAGGAAAGTTAGAAGAAAATTCATAAGAAAGTCATTTTCTCTTGTTTGGTTACCGTTCTGAGAAAAGAGGAAAAAAATTATCACAACATAATTTTAATTCATACTTTTTGAAATTAGATTCAGATTTTAAATGTGACGATTCAAATGTAAAGCATATATAATATAAAATCACAATTATAGTAGTTATTAACGCGAAGAAGACAACAAAATCTTAGTGACAACCATAAAGGTCATGTAATAGTTGACATTGTCTTAGTGAGGAACACCTTGTGCCCTTTAAAAATATTTAAACATGAGTGGATAGAAACTTTGGTGGATCATCCACTTAAGTTGACATAAGAATTGCTCTCTCTCTCTCTCTCTCTCTCTCTCTCTATATATATATATATATATATATAGGCAAGAAGATTTTGAGAAACATTGACTGATAACACAAAGACTCGCAAGAACAAAGAAGATAAAAACTAAAAGTACAAATTTTATTTTGGCTAAACACTCCTCATTGCTCGTGAGAGCTTTAGGCAAGAAGATTTTGAGAAACATTGGCTGAGAACACAAAGACTCGCAAGAACAAAGAAGATAAAAACCAAAAGTACAAATTTCATTTTGGCTAAACACTCCTCATTGCTCGTGAGAGCTGAAAGATTATTTCAGCCCAAGCCTATATAATGTGGACCGCATTTTATAATAGGCTAAAAGTACAAAGTTATTTCCTTCTTACAGGATTCTACGAAGAAAATTTATAAAGTTTAAGAAAGATTATATACCTTTAGAGATATAGGGGAAAGAAGGAGAGAGAGAGAGAGAGAGAGGGAGAGAGAGAGAGAAATTGCTAACCCTCTTCAATTGCGGTTGAGAATATGCAGCAGCTGCTGTGGGGGTGTTAAATGAGTGAGTTTGAGTATTAAATGGGAGGGCATATTTTGCCTATGTACCCATTTATGGCACATTTAACATTTTCTAAAGAGACGGGTTTTTGCCCGTAACACACTCATTTACCTATTTAACAATAATAGTTATCTATATAATACTTTTAGGGGGTTTTTTTGCAAACATTTTTTTGGTTGAAGTCTAAAGTTTGGCATGGAGAAAACCATTTTCTGAAATAGATTTGATAGAAAAATGAAAGAGAAGATCATGATCCTGAGGTACTGTGGTCGCTTTTGTTTTAAGTAGTTGACTCGGTCAAGGGGCTTAACATTGAAGGTCAAGGGGCTTAAGATTGAAGGCATTTAGTCAAGAGGGGCTAAATGGAAATTTATGTCAGCAATGAACTTAAAAGTTTTGACAATATAAAGCCAGAGAACAGCAGGGAACAAGATGCTAGAGCTACTACTCCGCTGTATTTGGCGTGATTAATGTCATGAATTGTCTTCCGGTGTGAGAAAATCGATCTTCTACTCATGCAAGAAAGAGTGATGTGAAGGCATAACTCAGCAAAAATAAGCACATAACTCAGCAGAGTGAGCAGCCCCTTACAAAAATTGAGATGCAGCAAAAAGCATGATATGCAAACACTCAGACGATGTTACTCCACTTACCCGAGTGCTGAATGGGGAAAGGCAAAGAACAAACACATAGTTGCACCGATTAAAGCGGCAACAAAAATTTACTGCGAGAACCTCCCATCTCAAGCTCTAAACCACCGGCAACTTTTGAGCATATAAAGCTTAGAATCAGTTTACGTCCAACTGAGAAGTTGAAGGGTTTCCAAACTCCATGATCCAGGACTTTTTAAGTCACCAACAATTCATCAGCAGACACCTTAGCAACTCATGTCTAGTGTCAAAGAACTTGAGTAAATTGACAAATAGTATACCAACATGATAGATTTCAGAGAAATATTAGGCAGAAAAACCATCTTCAATAATCAATCAGCTTTAAGCCTTAGCAACAAAGAGCATAAGCAACCAAGCTTCTGTAAATTCCAGTCCACTCTCATACCATTGGTCACCAATTCTGTCGGTATCTTTGATAAAACCTATAAAAACCACAAACCCAAGAAATCCGTTTCCTAGAGAAGTTCCAACCAGACGCCACATGTAACATAATGCTCCAATACTCCGCGGTGTTATTCCGCTTACAGAAGTTCTCAAAGTAGGGAAAAAACAAACAAACAGGAAAACAAAGTTACAAAATAAGGCTCCCAAGCAAAATCTGACGACTTCAACATAGCCTAAACAAAGTTACTGCAACTTATAAGCATATGGAGCTCAGTTAGGCCTTGGAGTAGCCCATTCAACTCTAAGAATAAGATTATCATACCCATACCCATTGAGCTTATTAATGGCCCTCTCCGCATCCTCCTTGCTCACAAAATTCACAAACCCAAACCCGCGACTAACCCCAGTCTTCTGATCAATCGCGACATAAACACGAGTCACTGGACCAAAAGTCCTGAAAAGCTCAAGAAGGTCAGGCTCACGAGTATCTTCCGAGAGATTACGAGTCACTGGACCAAAAGTCCTGAAAAGCTCAAGAAGGTCAGGCTCACGAGTATCTTCCGAGAGATTTGTCACCCTAACTGAGTTCTCATCGTTCCTTCGCCTCATCTCGGTACCACCTGGCCTCTCACCGCCGCCTCTTAGGACTGGTGGTACGTAGGTGTTCTTGCTTGGGCCAGAGGTTGGTACGTCCGAAGTTGGGGGTTTGTCCATGAAATCAGCATTAGTTGCGAGGTCCTTGTAGGGGCATTTTGAGGTCCAGTGGTCGCCTTTTTTACCGCATGTTCGACAGACCATTAGGACTGCTCCAGCTTTTTCTCGGAGTGGGTCGCCAGCGTTTTTGGGTTCTTCTGCTTTGCTACCTGCGAGTATTGATGGAATTATGTCATGGAAGTTTATGATCATAAGTAGCGAGGAGTGAATATGACAAGGACAAAATCTAAACCTGTTTAGGTCCAAGATTTTCACTGTACAATTGAATGATAAAGTAATCAAGTATGCAAGCAAATTGTCTAACAGATCATTGAATGAGAACAGTTTCATGATATATTTAGATGAACCAAGTTTCCAATAAACTAAATTGCATCACTCAGAAGGTTGACAGTAACCAAAATGGTTCTCCCAAAAAAAAGCTGCAACTTATTGCATACTTAATCCAGGAAAGATGCCTGTGGTAGCGGCACAGCATTAAAAAATTTTGGTAGATTGCAATACTTCAATAATACAAATGCAATCTGACTAATGAAAACTAGTCAGAAGATATAACCTGGAAGAAAAAACTTGTAACGTAAAGAGATATTAAGGGTCCTCAACAAGGTCAACATCTAGAAAGCTACTTCGGTAGAGAAATTTTCGAGATTAGCCAAGCCTCATTACTTGGCCCCTATTTAAGCAAGGAATCATCTACCTGTTTGGCCCACAAGCATTTCAAAACCCATTGCAAGCCTTACCTCACATGCAATAGAACTTACAGTTGCCAAATAATGAGTGTTTTCATAAACTTACTCCTTCAGTTGGTATGATCAGTCTATGAAAGTGAGGAGCTATTTTGTTTTGGGTTTGTGCTTTCTTGAAGGATCATATCATATTGAGAATTCAATGTGTACTGTAGCAAGATTGACTTAGCCAGGCGGCTTTCTACATACTAAAAATTCTCCATAAGTAAAATTGAGCCACTTGCCTTTCTTATATCTCCAAACTTAAGGACCCGTGATAAATGCTATCCTTATCCAGAAAAGACAAAGATCAAAACTCACTCATCAAACCACCCCATGTGAGGGATGATGATGTCATACTCCACTAAGTTAATAAAAAATAAAGTAAAATGGAGAGAGGAGAGAGAGGAGTGAAATGTTCATCATCATCTTTCTTCATCCCCAAATATCAGATGGCCTAAGAACCCATCCGTGTCCACCGCATTTGGGTATGTAGTCGTACCCAAAACGGGTCCGACACGGGTACGGCCCCCCGAGTTGCCGTGTTCGGGTAACCCAGCTATAGACAATATGGTAGTTCCTGAAACTCGGCTATCAGTGGTTAATCACAAATCCTTTCATATAGAATTAAATGGGTGTAGCTGAGTTGCAAGGACATAACACGGCAACATCTCAGACCAAAAAAGACATAATATGGATAATTTTCAAGTCAAACCCAGAGGGCCCACCAATTTGTGCTCAATGCTCAATTCTAAAAGATTTTGATGTGTTGGGGAGGTCACTCTGAATTTCCAAGATATGCAACGGAAGTACATTTCAACAATGTTTGTTCTCCAAGACTTGCAATGACTTCACTCAGGACACAGAGAGTTAAAAGATGGAAGAGGTTCTAAATGCAGGATGTGGCTCTGTAGGACAAGTTTGCAACTGCTATATATCATTGGGGGTACCATAAGGCTTTCCCCAGAAACAACCTCCACTAATGCTTCACCCACTGCTAAATTCATCATTTTTTTTACGAATTTTTAAGATGAATTCGGATAACCTTCACATTTACCCCTAAAACGCTCCTTCAAATATGGCACCCTTCTCCACCCTAAGAACAAAGCCAATTAGTATCAAATCATACAGATTTTTTTCATGATAAAAAATTGTGACTGGATGCATGGTGAATAAAATGGAGAGAATCATCTGCCATAGCAAGGCTCCTGCTCTTCCATTATCCATAAAACCAAGATGATACATCACACATAGCGTCCACACATTGACTTCCACTCTCAAGGACCTTACAAAGATAACATCCAATTAACTTACTTATGGTGGGTATAACTCAGTTCATGCATGGATGCCACTAGCCCAAAGACGATTGAACTGAAATGGTTAGCACACATTAGAGTCGCGTCTCCATCATTTTGCAGTGTGAAACCCAATAAATGGATTAGATGGCTACCCTAGACAGAATTTGTACAATACAACTAATCACTCTTCAATGCAAAATCTACAAGGCTCTAAGAGGTGGAGATCTGCGAACAGCCTTGATTTACACTCCTCACACTGCAAAGTTGCAAACGATTGAATAAAAACTACTCAGACAATCAGCCTCTTTAGCCTCTCAAAGACAATTTGCTTCCAGCCCGACATCAAATAAAAAATATCCAACACCAACAACATAGCTGCCTGTTTGATATTGTGCTCAAATCTATATTTCTATTGACAAGTTTCTGTCATAGTTGAGTTGAAAACTTCTCAATAAATTCATATAACTGTATCATGTACCTCAATTTCACTTTGTTTAGTTAAAATTTTCTCTCTTATTTAAGGACCAGTCTTGCCAATAAGAGGAATCCACTTCCCTAGGATTTCTAAGATGAAATATGATGCTGAAAGGCCTCAACAAATAAATTTCGACCAATTTTCCAAAAAATCTAAGTAGGATTTTATTATATACCAATAATAATAAGGTACTTCTATATGTAATTACTTTATAATCTAAATAAATTCAGATCAATTTCCATAATTTTTCTTTTAGCGACAATATTATAGTTAATGGGGCTAGGAGATCTAGAGGTAAACCTAGAATGACTTAGTTAGAAGCAATTAAGAACAAGGTTTTAAATATCGGATGTCGGGTTCATGTCGGACGGCTGAAATCCATGTCGGATAGCGAAAATCGGGGATATATCGGGGGACATGGACTAAATATCGGATTGCCATATCGGGTGATGCGCATATGTATAATATCATATCCTAAATATAATCTAAGCATTCCTAAATTCAATATAAGCATACTTTATAAATTTTATATACTAGACATATAAAAAAGTAAATAATATATGATGTTTAGGATCACTAACCGATTGTAGAAATTTGATTCTCGATTGCATCCTGAAACAATTTGATTCTATTAATAAGTATCTCCTATGCATTAGCATTTGAATTTGTTACATTTTAATTTTATAATTCAATTACTAACTTAAAATTAATTTTATTGACAGGGAAAAGATTCAAGAGGAAGGCTTACCTGATTTTGAGAAACAATTGCTTTTACTTAGCAGTCAGCGACTCAACAACACACTAAAAGTCTAGAAAAAAAATGCAAAGAAAAAAAAGTCATTAGCGATATATTAATAAGTTTAATTAATTGTCACCGTGCAACACTTTTTCTTAAAATCTTTGCTTGAGACAAAATCGCAATCACCAACTCATAAAAACGTTGGCTACATATATTCTACTGACTAACAAAGTTCTTCAAAAGGAAAAAAAACCCATAATATAATAATAAGAATAATAATAAAAAACACTTTCTACAAACATCAACTCATAAAAACCTTATCTCCTCATAAAAACCCAAACGTCAACTCTCTCTCTCTCCTTGTTCCCCTCAGATCGATCGATTTTCTTCACATTTTTCTGTATTTTCTTTTTTCGTTTCGTTTCTAAGTTGCGTTCTTCAAAAGGAAAAAAAGAGAGAGAGAGGAAGGCGGCGCCAGAAATGGAGAGAGAGAGATCAGGGAGGCTTACCTTCGACTTCCGATGGCGCAGGGAAGGAGAGAGTAAGGCGGCGTGAGAAATGGAGAAGCCAGCGACGATTTCGATGTAAGGACCACGAAAGCAAGACGATGAAAAGAGGAGGCTGATGGGTTCCCAGTCGTGAGCCCTAGGGTTTTTTCTGTTTTTTGTTTTGATCGCGTGTCTATCGGGTTCGAAAAGAGCCTGCTATATTTGATGAAGGAGCCTGAACCGATAAAAGGTCAAATGGATTTCACTGAACCCAAACCCAATAAGTGAAAAGAGCCTGAACCGATTTTAGAGCATATCGGCCGATTTTTCAAACATGAAAAATCGGCCGATATGGCCGACTTTTTGCCGATATATCCGATATCTCCCTTAAAAACGATATGCGACTTAAAATTCCCCGACTTGTGTCGTTTGAGGCCTCAATCCGATATGTCGGCCGACATGTCCGACATGTCGGCCGACATTTAAAACACTGATTAAGAAGGATATGATTATGACTAACTTTAACAGATGAGATGATCAATAACAGAATGGAATAAAAAAATAAGATTCATGTAGTCGACCCCAAACATTTGGGATAAAGGCTTGATTGTTGTTGTTCCATAATTTTCTTTTGTTCAGTTCAAATCCATGTCAATTGTCGGGGAATCAACTTCCATAAGGTCACTTAGGTGAAATCTAATGATGAAAAGCCATCGATAAACAAATTCTTACTGATTTCCCTCAGATCTAAGAATTAAGGTTTCACTTTACTAGAAAATCCAAAAAAAAGAAGATTGAACCTGGTGCCCTAGACCTCTCAAGAATGATCTCCTGTGGACACCATCATCAGCCTGCTCCCTGCCTCCTCGTGGGCCACGTCCCCAAACTTAGCCCACGACCTCCTCTCGACCGCACTCTTGCTCAGCCTCGCACGTGTCAGCTTCCTCACCTGCGTGAGGGTCGTGATCTTCACCTTCTCCCCTTGCCGTTGAACTTGTACTCGATCGTCCTCTTGATCCCGTTTTCATCGATCCCCTCCACGACACGTGGTGGCATGAGAAAGTCCAGATCCTCGTCGTCATCCTCTTCGAGTTCTCCCCATCGGAGCTTGCTCGCCGGCGCAAGTGCTACGTTTCCCGCCATTTTTTATGGTTTCTCTCTCCTAGGGTTTTCTATGTTACAGATGAGAGGGAGAGGATTTTATATGACGAGTGACGTAAGTTTTATTTGTGGACGAGTTTTGGGTCAATTGGAGTGGGTTTTAATGTTCGACCCGATAACAACAGAAATATTAGTTTGTTTATCTTTTAGCCCATTGAATTTGCTTTTGGCGACTGTTTTATTTAAAATTCTTTTTGTTTAATTTCTATAGGCCGGCCCATAAATCGTACTATTTTTTACCTTATCTAAAGTAGACTGGCCTGTTAGGAATCTTCTTGTTCATATATCTTTCTCAATAGGCCCAATTAGGTATGCTTTATTTCTATTGTTTCATTCTTCATGCTTTTCTAATTTTTTCTTCTAACAACCAAATAAAATATTTAAAAAAATCTAGCTTCAACCATATTGCATAATTAACCCATGACAGATGCCTATAGTAGAGGCACATCATTCAAAAAATTCGGTAGATTACAATACTTCAATAATACAAATGCAATCTGACTAATGAAAACTAGTCAGAAGATATAACCTGGAAGAAAAAACTTATAAACTTGTAACGTAAAGAGATTATTAAGGGTCCTCAACAAGGTCAACATCTAGAAAGCTACTTCGGTGGAGAAATTTTTGAGATTAGCTAAGCCTCATTACTTGGCCCCTATTTAAGCAAGGAATCATCTACCTGTTTGGCCCACAAGTATTTCAAAACCCATTGCAAGTCTTACCTCACATGCAATAGAAACTACAATTGCCAAATAATAAGTGTTTTCATAAAATTACTACATCAGCTGAGACAATAAAAAAGAAATTTCTGGTTAGGTAAATTTGATGAGCCGACTCAAGGAACACATTATATATGATGCTTAAGTAGCCAATCCCTCAAGGTTGGATTCTACTAGCATCCTACTCATAATGGGCACGATCAATGAGTAGTATCCTGTGCCAAGTCAGATAACGCACTACATTACTATAGATAATATGGTAGTTCCTGAAGCTCGGCTATTAGTGGTTAAACAAATTCTCACTGACTTCCCTCAGATCTAAGAATTAGGGTTTCGTTTTACTACATAATCCACCTCTCAAGAATGATATCCTGTGGACACCATCGTCAGTCTTCTCCTCACCTCCTCGTGGGCCACATCCCCAAACTTAGCCCACAACCTCCTCTCGACCACGCTCTTGCTCAGCCTCGCATGTGTCAGCTTCCTCACGCGCGTGAGGGTTGTGATCTTCACCTTCTCCCCCTTGTCATTGAACTTGTACTCGATCGTCCTCTTGATCCCGTTCTCGTCGGGCCCCTCCACGACACGTGGTGGGAAGAGAAAGTCTAGATCCTCACCGTCGTCCTCTTCGAGCTCTCCCCATCGGAGCTTGCTCGCCGGCACAGGTGCAGGGAGAGGATTTTATATGACGAGTGAAGGCGTACGTAAGTTTTATTTGTGGATGAGTTTTGGGTCGGTTGGAGAGTGGGTTTTTATGTTCGACCCGAAAACAACAGAAATATTAGTTTATATATCTTTTAGCCCATTAGATTTGCTTTTGACGACTTTTTATTTCTATAGGCCGGCCCATAAAGCGTACTATTTTTAATCTACTCTGAAATGGGCTGGCCCGTTAGGAATCTTCTTGTTCATATATCTTTCTCAATAGGCCAGATTGGGTGGGCTTTATTTCTATTGTTTCGATTTTCGTGCTTTTCTAATTTTTTTCTTCTGATCACCAAATAAATCATTAAAAAATCAGCAATGACAACATCTAAACCAGTTAGGTCCAAAATTTTCAATGTACAATTGAATGATAAAATAATCAAGTGTGCATGCAAATTGTCTAACAGATTATTGAATGAGAATAGTTTCATGATATATTTAGATGAACCAAGTTTCCAATAAACTATATTGCATTACTTAGAAGGTTGAAAGTAACTAAAATGGTTCTCCAAGAAAAAGATGCAACTTATTGCATAATTAACCCAGGACAAATGCTTGTGGTAGAGGCACAACCTCCAAAAATTTTGGTAAATTCCAATACTTCAATAATAAAAATGTAATCTGACTAATGAAAACTAGTCAGAAGATAAACTTAGAAGAAAAAACTTGAACATAAAGAGATTATTAGGGGGTCCTCAACAAGGTCAACATCTAGAAAGATACTTTGGTAGAGATAATTTCGGGAGTAGCCAAGCCTCATTACTTGGCCCCTATTTAAGCAAGAAATCATCTCCCGTTTGGCCCACAAGCATTTCAAAACCCATTGCAAGCCTTATCTCGCATGCAATAGAAACTACAATTGTCAAATAATAAGTGTTTTCATAAACTTACTACACCGGCTGAGGCCATAAAAAAGTAATTTCCGGTGGATAAATTTGACGTGTTGGCTCAAGGAACACATTATCTATGATGCTTAAGTAGCCAAACAGTCCTCAAGATTGGATTCTACTAGCATCCTACTCGTAGTGGGCACGATCGTTGAGTAGTATCATGTGCCATGTCAGACGACTCAAGGGCTCCCCATTACTAAAGACAATATGGTAGTTCATGAAGCTCGGCTATCAATGGTTAATCACAAATATTTTCATACAAAATTAAATAGGTGTAGCAGAGTTCCAAAGACAAAACCTCAGACCAAAAAAGACATATTATGGATAATTTTCAAGTCAGAAACAAGGGGAGCACCAATTTGTGCTCAATGCTCAATTCTAACAGGTTATGATGTGTTAAGGAGGTCACTTTGAATTTCTATGATATGCAACTGAAGTTCATTTCAACAATGTTTTAGTTTTCTACAAGATTTCCAATGACTTCACTTATGACACAGAGTTAAAATATGGAAGAGGTTCTACATGCAGGATGTGGTTTTGTATTGCAAGTTTTCAACTGCAACAGATCATTGGGGGTACTACAGAAACGCCCTACCCACTAATGCTTCACCCACTGCTAAAATTCATAAGTTTTTTTTTATGAATTCGGATAAGCTTCACATTACCCCCCAAAACACTCCTATAGATATGACATCTTTCACCACCCTAAGAACAAAGCCAATTAGTATCCAATCATACAGATTTTTTTCATGATAAAAAAATGCGACTGCGTGCGTGGCGAATAAAATGGAGGGAATCATCCGCCAGAGTGAGAATCCTGCTCTTCGTTATCCATAAAACCAAGATGACACATCACACATAGCAGTAGCGCTTCCACTCTCTAAAAGGCCACAGAAAGATAACATCCAATTAACTTACTTATGGTGGGTATAACTAGGTTCAGGCATGCATGTCACCAGCTCAATGACGATTGAACTGAAATGGTTACCACACTTTAGAGTCACATCCCCACCAGTTTTGCAGTGTGAACCCCAATAAATGGATTAGATGGCTACCCTAGACAGAATGTGTACAAAACAACAAATCACTCTTTGACAAAAAACTACAAGACCTTAAGCAGTGGAGATCTGCAAACAATCTTGATTTGAGCTCCTCACACTGCAAAGTTGCATTCGATTGAATAATAGTTACTCAGACAATCAGCCTCTTTAGCCTCTTAAAGACAATTTGCTTCAAGCCCGACATCAAATAAGAAATACCCAACACTAACAGCATAGATGCATGTTTGCTATTGGGGTCAATTCTATATTTCTATTGACAAGTTCTGCCCTAGTTGACTTGAAAATTTCTCAATAAATTCATATAACTGCATGATGTACCTCGATTTCACTTTTTTTAGTTAAAATTCTCTCTCTTATTTAAGGACCGATCTCGAAAATAAGAGGAACCCACTTCCCTATGGTTTCTTTAACTTTAAATATGATTCTGAAAGGCCTCAACAAATTAATTCCGACTAATTTTCCAAACAATCTAAGAAGTAGGATTTTACTATATACCAATAATAAGCCCTTGTATATGTAATTACCTTATAATCTGAATAAATTCAAATCAATTTCCATAATTTTTTTTGTGTGTGTTCAGTTTAAACACATGCCAATCGTCGGGCAATCAACTTACATAGGTGAAATCTGATTATGAATAGCCACCGATAAACAAATTCTTACCGACTTCCCTCAGGTCTAAGAATTAGGGTTTCGTTTTACTACAGAATCCCAAAAAAGGAAAAAAAAATTAGGATCGTACCTGGTGCCCTATGCCTCTCAAGAATGATCTCCTCCGTGGACACCATCGTCAGCCTGCTCCCCGCCTCCTCGTGGGCCGCGTCCCCAAACTTGGCCCACGACCTCCTCTCGACTGCGCTCTTGCTCAGCCTCGCACGTGCCAGATTTCTCACGCGCGTGAGGGTCGTGATCTTCACCTTCTCCCCCTTGTCGTTGAACTTGTACTCGATCGTCCTCTTGATCCCGTTCTCGTCGGGCCCCTCCACGGCACGTGGCGGCAGGAGAAAGTCCAGATCCTCGCCGTCGTCCTCTTCGAGCTCTCCCCATCGGAGCTTGCTCGCCGGCGCACGTGCTACGGCCATTTTTTCTGGTTTCTCTCTCCTAGGTTTTCGATATAACAGACGAGAGAGGGAGGGGCTTTTACGTGATGAGTGAAGGCCGGTTTTATTTGGGATGGGCTTCGGGTCGGTTTGGATACCACACAAGGCTTTCAATCGAAACAGATGGGCTTTTTATAGCCCGTACTAATTACTGCCTGAGAAACTAGTTAATCTCAGTAATAATTCAGTGATAATCACAGTCACTTTCTCACACCCTTCCCTTAATCTATAAGTTAAGTTCAGTTAACTTTAATTAGCTAGGATACATCGGTTCAAATGTGACGATTCAAAATGTAAAGCATATATCATGTCATATCATATCATACTTCCTTTAAAAGTACGAGTTTGAAAAAATCTTCCGGTAGATAAAAATAACCTGATAAAGTTTGAATTATCCTATCACTAATTAAATTCTAATTTTTAAATTGTGTTTAATGATTTATTTTAATCCTAATCAAATAACTTCAAAGTTTGAACTATCCTAATCCTAATTAAATTCTAACTTTTGAATTGTATAACTATTTTAATCATAATCAAATTCTAATTATTTTTAGTTTGGTCCCCCAGAGTTTGTACTGGACATCATATTTATTTTTTTGCACCAACCTTGTCATAGTTAGTATAAATAAATAAATAGTATTTAATAGTGTAGAGAAAACTCTTAGGATTCTATATTTTTATTAGCTCTCCTATACAATCCTTTGTTCTTTCTCCAGAGTTCTCAAAGACCCACGAGAGATTCCCACTTACTTGCTTTATCTTTTGAGCTCCTAAGAGCATCTCCAACAGCTTCCTCATTTCTCACTTTTGGAGAATTTAGTTAGGTTTTTGGCCCAACAGATTCCCCATCTCATTCCCTAAAATAGGGATAGAGGACAAAAAATGGGGAAGCTTCCCCAAATCTGCAGCATTCTTTAAAATTTTGGAGAAAAAAATGGATTCTTCAAAATGGGGAAGCTGTTGGAGTTGGTGTAAAAATTAGTTGAAGAATATGACTTTTGCTTCCCCATTTTAGAGAAAATTTTGGAGAAGCTGTTGGAGATGCTCTAAAGCTTTGATCCTGGAGGGTTTTTGGCTTCCTCTTGCAAGAGAGAGTCTTGAATTAGGTGGCTTTTTTTTTCTTCTTCTAATATTTTTGCTATTTTTCCCCAGCATTTGTGACGTGGGTTGTTGATGTTTTAGGTGATTACCTTCAGGGTTTTGCTCCAGGAGGCATGTTAGTTCTAGTTGGCGTCATGATAGTTCTAACGGAGTATCTGTTTGCTAGTTCTAAAGGTCGGTTAGTATCTATTTGTTAGATCTAATTTATGCCTTGTTAGTTCTGATTTGAATGCTTAATGTATTTGCTTCAGCTTTGGTACTACGAGATGACGGGCATAAAGAAATATGCCTACGTCGACAACTCCAGACCTCCAATGACAAACTGGGCATCAGAAAAGGAGGTGAAAGTCCCATATATGATGAGGGTGAGGACCGTTGCATGCAAGGCTAAATTAGCTTCAATAACTAAAGTTCATTGGCCTGTTGTGGAAGTTGGGCCTGCTCCTTCAAATGTACATGCACTTCCCGCCGTTCAGGGGGGTGAATGAGTACGTCATGTGCCTAAGTTAAAGAGGAAGGTGATGGCGGAGGAAACGAAGAACTTCTCAATAGGTTATGTAAGTATCCTGTTAAGTCTAAGTTGTCTATAGCTAAATGTAAACAATATCCATGTATGTATAATCCTATTTTATTATAAATATAATCTCTTAATAATTTTAGATCATGTCAAAACATATTGACAATGCTTTTGAAGATGAAGAGGAGGTGAATGATCTACCCATTGAGCAGCAACTTATCTTTTGGAGAAATTCTGCTAAATTCCTCCAACGACTACTCTTTGCCACAAAGCAGAGCAAGAGTACATACTGTAAAGAATTTATGGTTGAGATCAACAGGCTAAATAGAATAATCGAAGAACTTGGAAGACATGATGATGTCATAGACCCGGCGGTGTTGAAGGCAAATATCAAACAAAAAATTATAAAAAAAATAAAGTCGAAGCCACGACTTGATGAGGAGGAACAACCATCCAAATCAAGTAGATTACATAAGGAAGACCCCATCATGCAAGAAGCTGAACATAAGATGGCTGAGGAGCCTGTTGATGATGCTGTTGTTCATGGATGTGAAGTTAATTTGGAGGATGTCGGCCCCCAGAAGAATGGTGAAGTGGAATCCCCCGAGAATAAAGCTGAGGAGAATTTAAATAGAGAAGAGGTTATTGTAGATAATAAGGTTGAGGATAATGTAGATAAGGAGGAGGGAGGAAAATGTAGATAGGGAAGTGGAGAATCTAGAGAAGGAGGAGGAGAAATCAGAGAAGGAAGAGGAGCTTGTTGGTGGAGAAGGGGGGAATGTAGATAGTAGGATTGAGGAGAATGTACAGAAAGAGGAGGAGATTGTGTATAGGGAAGAGGAGCATGTTGGAAGAGAAGGTGAGAATGTAGATAGTTCTGCTGAGGCCATTGTTAATATTTCACATCAGGTGGATAAAATCTTAGAAGCTCTATCAAGTGATGTGCAAACAGAGAAAGTTGTAGCAGCCCCACCGAGGAAGGTTCGAAGGACAAGCAAGCGGTCTAAATGGTGTAAGACCCCATACACAGAGGGGAAGGGAAAGAAAAAGCAAAAAGTTATTATAGATATACATGCAAGTCCTGATGATGTACATACAGTTAACAAAGTTACCCATTTTTATACCGGCAAACAATATCCCACTTGGGATGAGTTAAGTTTGAAGCCAATGACAGCTGAGGAGGAAGTTCTAATGGGCGAGCTAAATAAAAATATTCCAGACCGTGCATTGTTTAGTATACATATAATAGATAGCAGGGGTACTTTTGTACATAATTTTAGGATACCATCTAAAGTATCGTCTAGACTTGCCGCAGCTGAAAATAATTGTCTAATCAAGTTTTGCTCCCAAAAGATTCACAAGTAAGGTTCAATTGACTATTTATATGCTAATTCATTACATGTTAGTCCTAATCCATATTAGTTCTGATTTTCAGGAGATATGATGTTATTAAAACAACCAATAGCACTTTGAACAAAGAAGAGCTGTTGTATTTGCTTCGTAGTGGCCGGATTGATGACAAGGTTGGATTATATGTGCTTAATAATGTATAAAGCCTTGTTCATATATTGAATTTTAATGTTTCATTGATGTTACAGATGGAAGAAGTATTGTTGGACACGCTCCAGCAAGAGGCATATGACAAAAAATTTGGAGTCGTCCCGGTGTTCTTTCTTGTAAGTACATGTTAGTTCTAAATTATCGTGTTAGTTTTGGCGAAAATGGATGATAGTTCTAGTTCTAGCCATGTAAGTTCTGCATGAGTCATGTTAGTTCTAGTTTGCATCACGTTAGCCCTAACAACTAGAATGTTAGTTCTAAATTGTTTCATGTTAGTTCTAACTGACGTCGTGTTAATTCTAGCTTATAACATGTTAGTTCTAACTGGCGTCGTGTTAATTCTAGCTTATAACATGTTAGTCCTAATGTATTCCATGTTGGTTCTATCTTCCCTCATGCATAATACTGAACATTATGTGCTACTATTGGCAGCACTCACTCTACTCCATCGACCCAGAGCATTACGAGCTATTTTTGCAATATATTGAAAAATACACCGCCGTTCACATAGAGCATCTGTTGATCCCGTTGGTCAGGCACGACCATTGGCATCTGGTTGAAGTTGATCTAAAAGAAAATGTCGTCAACCACTACAGTTCTGCTGGCCATGAAGCTTGGATGGAGCCTGTTAATAAAATCATAAAGTATTTTAATGAATAGCAAATTGATTTTGTAAGGTCAAATGTATCCAGAGTAATTAAATACAAGGCCATCAAATGCGAGCAACAAAGTCGTCTAAATCGTGTTATAGTTCTATCTCTAGGGAAAATGTCTAATATAGCATTCTATGTTGCAGCTATGATTGTGGTGTATTCGTCTACCTCTACATCCAATCAATAATTGAAGGTCGCTCGATATTGAGGGTTAATCCTCCGGACGATATCCCTGAAGCTATGCGAGCGAGGGTTGCCGCACAATTATTGTTAGCTGTTAGCTGGTTATGAGCAAAGACATGCAGATGAGTCAGCATATAGTGATGAATGACATGTTTATACAAAGACAATGATTCAATGTTTATAAAAATAAAATAATGTATGTATATTTAAATTGAAAATGTATATTATCAGAGGTATTAGACTCTCTAACGTCTTGTTGGTCTAAAAGAGCCCTTGTTAGTTCTAATTGCAGTTGCGACTGTTCTAGCTCTTTTTTGTCAGCTCTAATTGAGCATTAGTTTAAGTGTATTACGTTCATTTCTACTGGTTCTATCTCGTTTCTTGTTAGTTCTAACCTCATGTTAGTTCTTCTGGATTAAGTGTTAGCGCTAAGCAATACAGCGTTAGTTCTATCCCGATACTTGTTAACTAAAGAAACGCGGGCTGGGTTTATAGCTAACAAGGTGTGAGCTAGAACTGGCTGTATACAAACTAGAACTAGCGTCGTAGCACCTAGAACTAACATAGTAGCCAGAATTAACAATTGTGGGGTCAAAAAACATGGGCTGGGTTTAGAGCTAACAAGGTGTGGGCTAGAACTGGCTGTATACAAGCTAGAACTAGCGTCGTAGTAGCTAGAACTAACGTAGTAGCCAGAATTAATAATTACGGATACAAAAAACGCGGGTTGGGTTTAGAGCTAACAAGGTGTTGGCTAGAACTAGCTGTATACAAGCTAGAACTAGCGTCGTAGCAACTAGAACTAACATAGTAGCCAGAATTAACAATTGCGAAGGCAAAAAACAAGTGTTGGGTTTAGAGCTAACAAGGTGTAGGCTAGAACTGGCTGTATACAAGCCAGAACTAGTGTCGTAGCAGCTAGAACTAACGTAGTAGCCAGAATTAACAATTGTGAAGGCAAAAAACACGGGCTGATTTAGAACTA